GACCACGATAGACTATACGACAGACTTTCAAGAAACTGACGAGACATTTCATTACCTGTAAAACAAGGTGCTGGTTGTTTGAATTTTTTGACAAATATCAACTTCAATAATTTTATGTAGGAAAGATGCTTCCAATTTATTATTTATTTAAAAATCCAATTTGTCACTGGTTATTGCTTGTTATTGCCGTTTGTAGAAAAAATATTGTATGATATTTGTGTTAAAAGTATTTTTAAGGCACTTATGTGAATTGCAGAATTCGCTTCGCTCATTCTGCAAACTTTCACATGCGTGCCTTAAAAATGTACTTTTAACACTTATATCATAAATAACTATTTTCCGCAAACGTCAAAAAATGACGACTTTTTTAACCTCAATTCTTATTGTTGAAGTTTGACTTCACAGACGTCATTTTTTTGGTTACTTTTTTGTCCGTGCGTTCCGTGTTATATAGTTATTTACCTAACAAGTGCGGAAAGTGGTACTTTTCCGCACGAGACGGCAGTTGCACGAACGACGCGGAGCGGAGTTCGGGCAAGCCGTCGAGGATGGAAAAGACATTTTCCGCAAGAGTTAGGTTCAATATTTTTCCTACGAGTGTTTATATCCATCTTATTTATCAAAAAAAACATGTTTCCAATACGCAAAGATTTTATAATGATGGTACAAAATAGCACATAATATAAAATAGTAACATAAATCATTTATTTGATCCTGAATATCTTTATTTTTAACAATAAAAAAATCGTGCGGGAAAGTAACTTTTCAGCACTAGTGTGGAAAAGTAACTTTTCCGCACTAGTTTACTTTTCCGCACGATTTTTTTATGCACAAAAAAATAATGGACTCGGATTTTTTTATAGGGGGCGCTGCGGGGCTGTGCCCTCCAAATAAGGGGCTCTCGCGGGGCTCCGCCTCTCAAAAAGGGGCCACGCGGGCTGTGCCCCCCACATAGGGGGCTACGCCTCTCAAAAAGGGGCCCCCGCGGGACTGTGCCCCCAAATAGGGGGCTCTCGCGGGGCTCTGCCCCTCAAAAAGGGGCCCCCGTGAGACTGTGCCCCCCAAATAGGGAGCCCCCGGATTTTAATATGGGAACCAGAAAAAAAAGTTTGTGGGAAAATTTTACTTCTTGATATTTGAAAAGGTCCACTGTGAGAATAGACTTTTTTTTTCAATTAAGATAGTAATTATTTGGTTTGAAATAAAAAAATAGTACCCATAGAATAAAAATCGTACGGAAAAGTAAAAATCGTGCGGAAAAGTAAAAAAATCGTGCGGAAAAGTAAAATCGTGCGGAAAAGTACAAGTTTCAAAACGAAAAATCGTGCGGAAAAGTAACTTTTCCGCACGCTCGTAGGAAATAGTATATTTCCTAACAAGTGCGGAAAGTGCCACTTTTCCGCACGCGATTGCAGTTTGCCGAACGACGCGTAGCGGAGTTCGGCAAGCAATCAAGTGAGGAAAAGAGACTTTCCGGACGAGTTAGGAACACTATTTTTTCTACGAGATAGAAGGAATATACTTGTAATGTAAATTTCAACACCAATATTTGATAATATTTCTTCTGCAACACCTGGTATTAAAAACAAATCGAGTAATTTTTTCTTAATATAAATTAGGTACTTTTAGAAATAAATCTTATTTATTTATTGATTAAAATAAAACTAATTCTGAAATAATGTGCCTTATTCTGAAGACAATAAAATCGAGGACTTTTAACAATAATTTGTTCGTTTGATTTACTATCTGATCTACTATGAAAATTTCGAAATTTTCAGGCATAAAGTAACCATTCTATAGTAACTTCACAAGAAAAGTTAAGTTTAAACCAAAATAATTTATTAAATAACATAATTGTTTCAATAATTCTCAATGCTGATATTTGTGTAAGTGTGTCAGCTCAGAATTTTAAAAGTAACATCTGTCACTTTTCCCGCACTAGTGCGGAAAAGTGAAACTTTCCAAACTAAAATGCGTGCGGAAAAGTGCACGTTTCCGCACGCTCGTAGAAAAAGTACTTTTTCCTACGAGCGTGCGCAAAGTAGTACCTTTCCGCACGCATTATCGTTCTCAAAGTTACACTTTTCCGCACCCAGTGCGGATACGGGCCTTATCCGCACTGAGTGCCGAAAAGTAAAAGTAATTGTCAAGCAACAATAAGTGTACCTGTCGACTTTGACACATGATGACAAATTTTTCCTCTGTTCCTATATCAGCCAACATCTATACAAACACTGAATATAATTAACTTTGACAAATTGTCAGATTTGTGTTCTCCATTTACATGCAAGAATCTACAAACTTCTTTCGCATCAAATTTAAACGCTTTAAGTCATGAACAGCTCTGACGAGCATTTCAATTTTCTGTTTTTTTGTTATGTAATTTTTTGATGAATGAATAGGTTCGCTTCAAGTTGATTGAAAATAATTGAACAAAAACACTTGCGTGCGGAAAAGTAACACTTTGCGCACTTTTTAGGAAAATAACTATTTTGTACGCTCACGGCCGGACAAAAAAGTGACGTCACAGAAAATTCCTGGATTCCATCACTTTGAACACCATTTGCGGAAAAAATAGTATGTTTTTTTCGGAGAAAAGCACTTTTTGTGGCTCGTCTAAAATTGTCGGCCTCACTACGTTCGGCCGTCAAACGTTTAGTCTCGCCACAAAAAGTATCACTTTTACTCCTAATAAAACAATATACTATTTTATTTCCACCAGTTAGACCACATTCATTCAATTTTATTCCTTTCAACTGTTATATTTGCTTCAATATGTTTACGTTTATTTCAGGATTTCTCAGTCTTACTAATATGGGAGCATCTTCTTTAGCATTGCTGATCCTATACGCTTCTTGAATATCACCTGGCTGTAATTTTATCTTCATAGCTCCAAGTATTTTGTTTATTGTAACTTGTATATCTTCACTTTGTTTGGGTACTCCCGCCATTACCAAGTTCGAATCCTTTTCCTTTTGTTCGATCATATTCAATCCCTCTTCCATGGATGGTACTCTTTGCTTCAACATTTCATTTTCTTCCTTCAGCTCCTCCATTTCCACTAGGTTTTTTTCAAACTTGTTTTCCTGCTCCTCAAAGCTCTCTGACATAAACTGTATTGAATTTTACCTACGAGCGTGCGGTAAAGTGCACTTTACCGTATCTATTTGCAAATGGAAAGTAGCACTTTACCGCATAGTATTCGGTAAAGTTGACTGCAAAGTATGCGGTAAAGTAGACTTTGGTATTTATGATTAAAAATCCTTTCTTTTTCAGAAAATGGATTTTTCATAATTTCTAAATCTAATCTAATTTCATTAATTAATCCTATTAATGCCTTTTTTCGGAGATGTAGATGCTCATAGATAAAATTTTGTACCTAACACATGCGGAAAGTGCCTTTATTTAAATTAACTTCCGTTGCGTGCGGTGAAGTATCACTTCCGCATTTGTTAGGTAAATAACTATTTCATCTCCATTAAGCTATTGTCCATGTCGGTCTTAAATGCATCTAAATATTGGGAAAACATTTTTCCAAACAGTTTTTTATTTTCTTTTCATCCATTTCCAACTTAACCAAACTTTCTTCAGGTGCACTGCAACAGGTTACTTTATTTGCAGAATCTGCAACTCCAGCGTGAACTCCATAGTTTAGTGCAAAAACGACTTTCTTTTCCCAAAATCGACAAGTTTTTTGAAATTTTTTTGACTCCTTTAAAACAATGTTGTTTACATTCGTCATAACCACATTTATTATTATGATAACATGAACAGTACCATTTTTGAAAACTGGTTCAAAACTCAGCTGGTTCCAAATCTCCCTCCGAAATCATTAGTCATTACTCATTATAGACAATGCAAGCTACCATTCGGCTCTTTCAGAAGAAATCCCGAGAAGACCTTGGACAAAGCAAAGGCTCATCCAGTGGTTAAAAAATACAAATTTGGACTTTCCAGAAAAAGCAATGGAACATCAAATATGGCTCATTGGTTTTTCACAGCTTTTTGCTTTGAAGACATACCTATAAAAGTGAAATTTTTGTCATTTTTATTGAATCGGCTTTTACTTGGTGGAAATCCATTATCTAATAAAAGATTTTTGAAGTAAATTTTAATACTTATATATTTCCACTATTTTTTGTTAAACTTTTAACATGTTTCGCTAAACTTAAGCTTCATCAGAAAGATTAAAAAAAAAAAAAAAAAATGTAGACATATAATATAATATAACATATGTCTACATTTAATTTTTTTTTAAATTTTTCTGATGAAGCTAAAGTTTAGCGAAACATGTTAAAAGTTTAACAAAAAATAGTGGAAATATATAAGTATTAAAATTTACTTCAAAAATCTTTTATTAGAAATTTTTGTCTAATTTTGCCCCATTTTTCTTAATACTCGCAACTATTGTGAGAATCGCTTTGTCGCATCTACTGCTCACTGTAATACCTATACATTCTGAACTTGATTGGGTACCATATCCGTTTTGTATTTTTTCAAGTTGGAAAAGGCTCTATTTTAAAGTTTATTTTTAACCTTTTTTTAATGCTAATTAACAGGTAATACTTATGTATTTATTTGACTTTGTATCGTTAAATAATAATAAAATAAAATTACTTACCTACCATGTGATTTTTTCTTTAATTTTAGTAGCCTTTATAATAGCTTTTAAGACCGCATAGCACAACTTTTTGATAATATTTCTGCGCCTAACAAACAATAATAACAAATGTTTTTATCCATATTTTTTGGGTCAATTTTGTTACTAGCAGAAAGCTTAAATAAAACATGCCATGTCCCAAGTTTACGAAGCCATTTAGGATAAAATATAATTTCCATCTGATTCGTCAATAATACTACTTCAGTAACGCGTTTGTAAAATGCTAGTGGGAACATGTCCTAAAATTCAATAGTAATTAACCACCAGTAGCTTTTTGTACGAGGTGACATCAACGACATAATCAAGAACATACGTTTTTTGTTACCAATATCACGTGACTTTAAAATGATATTTGTCGGACTTTACCTTGGACACCTTATCATAATTGTCAAACTGTCATGAAGTTTAATTTTCTGATTATACACTTTTTTTTAATTTACACAATCTTAGCAAAAGACGAAATGACAATATCGGAAATGGGAGATGAAAAAAAGAAAAAGAATCTCGGACAACAAGCTGCCAACATAGCTCAAAAAGCTGCTACAGATGCGAAAGCCGCCCAAGACGCTATGCAACAAGCCGGAGCACAAGCGGCACGTCAAGTCAAGACTCAACTCGCTGAAAAAGCTGCCGAAGCTGCGAAATCTGCTCTAGCCGCATTAGCAGGTAAATCAATTAAAAATTCCATTGATATTCTTTTTTGCTTGTTACAATACCAGTTACTTTGCTAGTTTTTTCCGTCCTTGTTACAGAAAATTCGTATATCCTTTAGGGCTTTCAGCGTTTCAAGGATGTGTAAAAGTGTGTAATGTCAGAATCGATCGAAAATAGAACAAAACTGGAAGCAAATTCCCAAATTCGAGCCTTATCATTGGGATCTCGGTAACCGTAAGAGATACGGGGTCGGTTAAATTATGGCAAAGTTGCGCAATTTTATGACCAATAGAATGACGTTTTGAAACTAGAAAGATTCCGAATACTTCCGGACATATTCGGAAAAAACCGAAATTTTGTAAAATCGTTTTTATTTGTTCCCGCCGCCTTATTCTGTAACTTGCGACCGTAGAGAATTGCACAATAGTCGCTGTCAAGTCGCTGTCAAACGCGAGTTTTCTATTCAAAAAAAGCAACTTGCGACCGGTTGCTGGTTGCTATGTGATTGCTGTTCGTAGAGAATAGGCCTGCCGGGCTTATTTGAAAAGCAATTTTAAAATAAATGTCACTTCATCATTGTCACTTTTTCCCCTTTAGAGGATGGTTCTACTAAATTTAAAATTCGACGTTTCGTCTTCAGGCGGCCATCCTCAACTTACGTTTTTTAAATACGGACCTAGATTTTTTATTTGCGATTTTGTCATCTTTAGGCATCCTAAAACCGATATTGTTTATAATTCTTCAATAACACGGTAAAAAAAGCAGGTCCATATTTTAAAAAAAAATCAATTGATGATGATTCCAGAGGAACGAAACGTTGGATTTCAAATTTAATACCGCCATCTTGTAGAGAAGAAAAAGTGACAATGGGAATGTGAAATTAGTTTTTCAAAATCTTTTCAAATGGAATCAGGAAAAAATTTAAGAAAAACGAAAAATCCATGTTTTTTTCGTATAGTTTTCATTTTTTCCTGACTTTATTTAAAAAGATTGTGAAAAACAAATTTTACATTCTCATTGTAGTATTAAATTTAAAATCCAACATTTCGTTCCTCTGGAATCCACATCAATTTCTTTTTTTTTAAAATACGGACCTGCTTTTTTACTGTGTTATTGAAAAATTATAAACAGTATCGGTTTAAGGATGCCCAAAGATGACAAAATCGCAAATAAAAAATCTAGGTCCGTATTTAAAAAAAAGAAGTTGAGGATGGCCGCCTGAAGACGAAACGTCGAATTTTAAATTTAGTAGCACCATCTTCTAAAGGAAAAAAAATGACAATGATGAAGTGAAATTTATTTTACCTACGAGCGTACGGTAAAGTGCACTTTACCGCACGTATTTGCAAATGGAAAGTTTCACTTTACCGCACACCATGCGGTAAAGTGCACTTTACCGCATAGTGTGCGGTAAAGTTAACTTTACAGCATAGTATGCGGTAAAGTGGGCTACAAAGTGTGCGGTAAAGTGCACTTTACCGCATAGTGTGCGGTAAAGTAAAATTTAATATTTTTAATTAGAAATCCTCTCTTTTTCAGAAAATGGATTTTTGATAATTTCTATATCTAATCTAATTTCATTAATTAATCTGATTCAATATTTAATTTTATCAATGCCTTTTTTTAGAGATGTAGATGCTCATAGGTAAAATTTTGTACCTAACACATGCGGAAAGTGCCTTTACCGCCCTTAACGGCTTGACCGAACTCCGCTTCGCGTCGTTCCGTCAACTGCCGTTGCGTGCGGTAAAGTATCACTTTCCGCATTTGTTAGGTAAATAACTATTAAAATTGCTCTTCAAATAAGCCCAGAAAAAAAAAAACCGATTTTACAAAATTTCGGTTTTTTCCGAATATCTCCGGAAGTATTCGGAATCTTTCTAGTTTCAAAACGGCATTCTATTGGTCATAAAATTGTGCAACTTTGCCATAATTTAACCCACCCCGCATCTCTTACGGTTACCGAGATCCCAATGATGAGGCTCGAATTTGGGCCACCCTGAAAAGACATATTACTCTTAAGTTATGTTATCATTGTTTTGTAATTTTTTTTTATCAGGTTAAATGTATCTATTAATTTCTCAAAAGCTAGAGAAGTTTATAATTATGCAATGAACATGAAATATTACGAGAAATGTTCGGCTAGGATTTTTCTATTTTTTTCTTGAATTGTTTTCAAAATATTGGACTCAAACTTCTTTCCTTATCAGGTTTCTTATCATGTTCCCTTGTTTTGGTTTCTGATAAATCTCCAAATCTGCTTGAAGCTAAAAAATTAAAGCTATTCTCCTAGAGAAAATTTTCTTTTCCTGCTTTTTTTGCATTATTGATATTATTTTATTCGGCTTCTTCAAAAAAATTCTTTCATCTTACAGGTAAGGAAGAATTAGTTCAAAAACTGAAAGAACAACTGAAAGAAGCTGAAGTAGTGGTAAACGAGGAAGCATCCAATCTGCAACAGCTTCAACAAACAGTACAAGCGGCCTCAAAAGCTGCTCAGCAAGCTCAGACTGCCCTGAAACTGTTGCAAACCACTTTGCAGCTGACTCAAGGTAAATGTTGCCAATGTAAAGATATAGTTGGTAAACTTCAACTTATAACTGAGGTGAATACAGATATTTTTACCACTCTCAATGATATTCCATTCGTGGTTGGCGATAATAATGCGCACAAATGCAATACCAATAAGAAAGGTAAACTATTGTGATCCTGAATCAAATAATTTATCAAAAACTACTTATTTTTACAGGAAATGCAGGCAACTCTCAGCATGCCCTAGAAGGTTCTCAGGACCAATTGGCAGATAAAGAAGAGCTAGTAGAGGCTGCAAAAGGCAGAGTGGACCAATTGAACAAGGACCTTCGGTTAGCTAAAATCGAACTGGCCAAAACCAGGGATTCCGCCAAAAAGGCCGAGCAATCGGCTGTAGACGCCAAACAACTTGCTGCCAGAAATACTAATAGGAAAAAACGGAGCATGTTGGAAAATGTGAATATACGATAAAAAAGAATTAAATATTATACAATTTATTTTAAATGTATTGTATATCTCATATACAGGGTATACCATTTAAAACCAAACAGGCTAAATATCTGATGTATTTAAAAAAAAATCACTCGTACGCGTTATTTCATTGTGTGAGTATTTGAAACATTTCCAGCACTAACTTAACCTTCTTGGGGGGTTGGGACCAACCCTTAGCATTCCAAATGGAACGAGCTTACCATTCCAAATGGGGTCGAGTGATACCTTACTGTATTAAACTTTTAAAAGAGCGTTCAATTTTCTTTCAAATGACATCAAATGAAAGTGAATAGAACGCTCTTTTAAAAGAGGTACCACTCGACCCCTTGTTCTATTTGAAATAGTAAGGGTTGGTCCCACCCCACCTAGAGGGTTAAAGTTGAAGTCCTAAAAATGGTTGCAGAAAATTTCCCCTTTTGAAAATCAAATTACGTGTACGAGCGATTTTTGGAAAAATAAACGTGGCATCAGATATTCAGCCTGTTTCGTTTTAAATGGTACACCCTGTATACATTATATATACAGAATTTTTGCAACAATATTAATAAATTTATTTAAAAACAACAGAGAAATCTTGATCTTAGCCTTAGCTCAGCATGTAAACTGTTTATTTTTTTTTATTTGATGATTTATTTTAATTAGGGGATTGGATAATGATGTGAACCCCAGGGGTGTCAGATCTCACGATTTATCGTGAGATTTCATGATTTTGTATCGAATCTCACGATCTCACGATATGTCCCAAGAATTTCACGATATTTTAAAGTTTTGGCGGGTTTTGGTAAAATATAAGAGTTTTCAATTGCAAATTTATTTTAGTAAAGAATTCTGTTGACAGAAATATGAGAATAAATATGTATAATTTGAAATAAAAATCAGTAATTCTTTGGTACGACGTTGGTACACAACACTGCAACCTCAAGCAGCACTAAAATTTTATTAGTTTAGCACTGCAACGGGAGATGGCACTATTGTAGCGCGAGGCAAGTGGTCGGTATTTTTCAGCAAATTGTTGTTATTTTCGAATTTATCTGGTGCAATTTGTAAAATAGTTATTTTCCTAACAAGTGCGCAAAGTGTTACTTTTCCGCACGCAAGCACAGTTATACGAACGACGCGAAGCGGAGTTCGGATACGTGTTTGCGTGCGGAAAAGACACTTTGCGCACGTGTTAGGAACAAAATTTTTCCTACGAGCTTCATATCAGGTAGGTAATAACAAAAATTTAAAAAAAAAAAACGATAATTTGTTTAATTATTTTTAATTAACTTAAAAGGAACCTATGCATTTATCAAAAAATTAATAACAAAAAAAAAATAACAGAAAATCCTCGTCAGAGCTGTTCATCTTAAAGCGTTTAAATTTGATGAGAAAGTTTGTAGATTTTTGCATGTAAATAGAGAACAAATCTGACAATGTGTCAAAGTTAATTCATATTTAGTGTTTGTATAGATGTTGGCTGATATAGAAACAGAGGAAAAATTTGTCATCATGTGTCAAAGTCGACAGGTGCACTTATTGTTGCTTGACAATTATAATTACTTTTCGGCACTCAGTGCGGATAAGGCCTGTATCCGCACTGAGTGCGGAAAAGTGTAACTTTGAGCCCGGAAATGCGTGCGGAAAAGTACTACTTTGCGCACGCTCGTAGGAAAAACTTTTTTTCTACGAGCGTGCGGAAAAGTGCACTTGCCTGCACGCATTTTAGTTTAGAAAGTTTCACTTTTCCGCACTAGTGCGGAAAAGTGACAGATGTCAGTTTTTAAATTATAAGCTAATAAGATAATTATTGAAACAATAATGTTATTTATTAAATTATTTCGGTTATGCTTAAAAAGGACCCCGCAATATTTAAATGGAAATTGGTTACCCGTGATTTTTGGATGAAATTTAAATATGTTATTGGGGATATCGTAAGCAACATTTTTTACCATGGGCACAACCCTGCATATATGACAGGTGAGGCGTTGTTAGCTGTCAAATATTGGAATCTTATATCCAAAAGCAGAGTAACTATGGCAGATTTTGATGCACAAAAAAGCTATTTCTACTAAGTCGACCAAGTTAAGTCGAAAAATGCCAACCACTTTGACATCAGTCAAAACCCTGTCAAACGGCAGCACTCATCTTTTCCAGTTTTCAATATTTTATGATGTCATTTGACATTTTCAACTTGTATGTGAATTCTGAATTCAAAAATTGAAAAAAAAAAATGACAGAACTGTCAAAACCTGTCATTTTTTTTAGTAGAAAAAAATACTCTATTCTGGTTCTTTCTCGTTTTTAAAGTAGTTTATTGCTGATAAAACGTTGAACAAACTTAATATGAACCAAAAAAATATTAACAGATTCTGACAGTTGTCAAAATGTGACATGCATGAACTCTGTTTTATGTTTTATCACCAATAAACTACCTTGAAACAAAAAAGAACCAGATTAGAGTATTTTTTTCTACTGCAACAAATGACAGGTTTTGACAGTTCTGTCTTTTTTTTTCAATTTTTGAATTCAGAATTTACATATAAGTTAAAAATGTCAAATGGTATCATAAAATATTGGAAACTGGAAAAGATGAGTGCTGCCGTTTGGCAGGGTTTTGACAGGCGTCAAAATGGTTGGCATTTTTCGAATCAACTTGGTTGACTTAGTAGAAATAGATTTTTTGTTCATCAAAATTTGCCATAGTTACTCTGCTTTTGGATATAAGATTCCAATATTTGACAGCTAACCACGCCTCACCTGTCATATATACAGGGTTATGCCCATGGTAAAAAATATTGCTTACGGCATCCCCAATAACATATTTAAATTTCATCCAAACATCACGGGTAACCAATTTCCATTTAAATATTGCGGGGTCCTTTCGAAAATTTCATAGTAGATAGGTGGTACATCAAACGTATCTACAAATTATTGTTAAAAATTCTCGATTTTATTGTCTTCAGAATCAGGGACTTTATTAAAGAATTATTTATTTTTTTTTAAATGAGTTTTATTTGTACTTAAGAGTACCTAACCTATATTAAGAAAAAATTACTCGATTTGTTTTTAACACCAGTTGCCAAAGAAATGTTGTCAAATATTGGTGTTAAAATTTACATTACGTAGGTACGTTCCTTCTATCTCGTAGAAAAAATAGTGTTTTTAACCCAACAAACACAATTACATTCCAAAGACGTACATAAGGTGTAACGTTATGACATACTGTACGTTTGTAAGGCGTCGATTTTAGAGCCAAGTACGTCTTGAAGACGTAATGGGCAAGTCGTATGTCAACTCCATAATACGTCTTAAAGACGTACAACTGAGAGCCATAAAGAACGTCCATGATACATCTTGAAGACCTAATTGAGTACATATTGCAAACCAAATGAAAGAGGATTTTTTTACTCACATCGTTTATTATTTATTCGCTATTAGCTTACTAAACCTGGAATAACAACAAAAGAAAAACATTAATTCAAAAGTATTGCAACTATACCTACATAAATAAAGCATAAGCTAAAAGAACTGCATTCTGGGTTGGGACTCTGGTAAACTAATTAGCACAACACTGTTTCACTGAACTGACTGAACTTAATTTATTATTAATAAATTGGGAATATTCTATCTATAAAAACCTTAGAGCAGGTCAACAGTAGAACTAATTTTCAACCTCGTGTTCTGGAAACATCCATCAACATCACAATAAGACATAAACTTTTTTGCTTATCTCACTTCTGAATTTGTAGGGATGGGTCTAATTAACTAAATTGTTGCTGTATTTTCTTTATTAAATAATAGTCCTTGGGCCCAGATCTAAATTTATTATTTATGACCACACCGTCGAAACTTTTTGTATTTGCTATTTGGGTGGAGTCGGACAAATTTTGAGCTCAGCGCATTATGCTAGTGGGGCGTTTGTCTGTCAAGCTGTCACAAAGTTGTCGATTTTATGCAAGAAAAAAATTTATGACCACATTGGTAATTTTTTTTTAATCAATAGTTTTATCACATAAACAACGAAAAAAAAAGTGTCGGACAAAAATATTGGGGCATTCGACGCGTCGGACATGCTAAATATGTCAAATTTATGGGAAAAAAAAATGTATTACCACACGGCTGATTTGAATAGAATCTGCCATAAAAATATTTTACAATAACGTCGGACAATTTTCACGGGGCATATGCGCAGTCGGATGCGCCAAAGATGTCAATTTCCTGCAACAATTTTATTTACAACCATTTTTCCGACAAAAATAGGAGGGTCTAAGTAATTATATTCTAAATCAAAAAATCTAAGTGTCGGACAAAAATATTGGGGCATATCGACAGTCGGACAAAAAATGTAATTTTTATTGGTAATCGATATTTCCTTACTATACTGGGTTCAGGTATCCCTTTTTTTACAAATATTTTTCCGACAAAAGTAGAAGGTTACCAGTAATTATATTCTTAAATAAAAAATGTAATTGTCTGATAAAAATGTTGCGGCAAACATACAAGAAATTTAATTCTTATAGGCTATCGACGTTCTTGAATTATAAGG